TCTAGATTATTAAGGGGTATTTCGACCAAAAGATATATTCTCTAATGACGGGAGAGGATATAGGAGAATTGGAGGAAACTCCAGTGATTTTGAGGGCCATGAGACTCGTATGCAAGAATTTCCTTCCAGGTTGGAACATGTTGAGAATTCCAGAGTTTTCAAATTTTGTCTTTGATCATCTTGACGAACTACTGGATCCTTGTAGGAGAAAGGCACAGTTCGTAGATTCTATTCAAGAGTGGGTGAAGGGAGAGCACGCCAAAAACAGAAAGAGCAGTCAACGGCGAGGTATGAAGAAGTCAGAGATTGACATTGACGAAGTTGAAGCCATGGAAGATCTTGTGGCAATCTTGAGTGCAGATGACAGTTGCAGCGATTTGAAAGCTGAGGCAAAAGAATGGATAGTATTCTGTGGTAAGTACAGTTGGATTGAACAATCCAACTGGAATCCATCTTTGGAATGTAACGAACAAATAATCTTGAAATTTCTAGATTATCTCTATAGTCCAACGGGCAGGAAAGCTAAACTTGATCTTGGAGAAACCGTTCTGAGAGGTCGAATGAAGCGCATGGCAGACTTGGGTGTCATCGAAGATGAAGAGACAGCTCGGACAAAGGTCAGACATTCTTACTCCTGACGTAAAGATTTTCCAATTTGTAATGTTTATGTTACAATTACATATATTGTAGTTTGGATATGATCTAAGAGTATTGTGCTTGTTATTTTTTTCAGGGTGAGATTTCAAAGTCAGCTCTTGATGAATCAGAGATGTATGGTTTCGTAGAGCCCATACATCCATTTTTTATGTCTGTACATATATCACAGGAAGTTGAAAAGTGGGGAGCGAAGGTTGAAGTCAAGAGGATGGATGCAAAAAAACGAAATCTTCTCTTGGAGTGGGGAGCGAAGTATACGGCAGACGCCTCATATAAGATCCGTGTCAACACACTTGAAAACAAAGGGTCGGTAAAATGGGTTGTTGCTGCCAACAAGTGGTGGAATAAAGTTGAACTGTTTGCAACAGCGATGTCTCTTGTTAAGGATCTTAGCAAAGGACCAGAACGTGATCGCGGCGGGAAACGTGCAAGTAAGATCGTTCCCAAGCATTTTCTTTGAGCTTTAATTTTAACTGAAATATGTTGTATCAAAATGATAATATCTGCGATTGGGTTGCTGTTATTACAGATAGGAGAACTCGTTCTTCAGATGGTAACATGGATGTAAGCGTCAAGAGAAAGCCACCTGGTGAGAGGACACGACGTGCTAACATATGGCGATGAGTTGAAAGTCGTACGTGGACTTCGATACTGGTTAGTTTCACTTACAAAAGTCTTAAATGGCAATTTTCATACTTGTTTTTTTTTCCACTCTACCTAGATAGGCTCCAATGTGGCTCAAAAGAAGTGGTATGGGGTTTTTTCTCCTCATTTCTTCCTTGTAGTTGGTGTACTTGTCCTACTTTCGAAGAGGAGGCGGATAATTATATGTATTTTGAATCGGTGTTTCAGATCGCTATGCTTTTGCTTCAGTAATCATGGTAGTGTAGTTGCTTCATTCTGGAACTCGAAATCTGCTGATATCAGTCTGAATTGGATCCTTAACGTATGGTTATCCTTAACGTATTTATAAAATCACCGTTCTTGGATTCTGGGACGGTAGATCAGTATCTGATTATAATTTTGCTTTTTTTGATACAGCTTTTATGGTGCCAACGAAGGATGCAAGTGCGATGACAAGTCCTTATGCAACCCTTGCAATTGCAAATGAGAGAGAACAACTCCAATTTATGTTGTTTATATTCCACGAAGTCATCCTCAGTCGACTGAGGATGATGAGCTGTAGCGAAAGTTTTGCAGATCATGTATGCAGTGGCTTTAGGACGCACTCATCACTTTCTGGAAGTTTGACTGTGCTTTCAGTTGACAGTTCGCAGCTTTAGAGTTTTTGTATCGGAACAAAATTGGAATGGAGCTACATCGTGCACTACACATTAATTTTTCTGTACACTCGGATTTTTCTACCGTCTCAGACTTATTTGAATTATGAATTTGAAGCCTTGGAGGCTAATTTTGAATCTTTTTGTATTGTGAGATGTCAGCGTGGTTTTTAGTACCAGTTTGGTTCATGGAAGCTGTAAGTTAGGAGATAGTCAATCTACATGGTGGCACACAGGTCGAAAGCAAAAATATAGGGTCACATGAAAGGGAGAGAAACATACTCTACAAATCTAGCTCAATGATAAGAGATACAAAGAAAAGGAATCGGGACTACCTTCTCCATAAAAAGTCATTTCTTGTTCAAACAATATCCCCCGCCTATTTCTGTGTGTTTATAAACGCAGAGATGTGAGATGTAATTGTGAAACATATAGCTCATTTTGTATTAACTGCTGTCGGATGAAGAAACTTACTGTATGTTCCGACCAATTTTAATTGATGTTTGAATTTTTTCATAGATTTGGATCAAACTTCGATTGCGATTCTGCTTTGTATCGCAATGTAACTTGATCACTGAACCTGACAACTGACAAAGGAAACATGCATAGCTTGGTAAAACTCCTTAATATGTCACATTTTCATATCACTTGTAGGTGCTCTTCTCTCCGTCTTCGTGTGAAGGAAATGTATTTACCCTCCATTCATTTAAAGGAGCAAGATCTGTTGCCCATATGAGGTCGAAGTAAATATCTGAACTTGTTACATCCGATTCCGTGTACGCTTGAAACGCTCATATACCCGAAATTGGAATCAATAATTTAGATTCAACACTCGGTACTGTGGAATTTAATAGATGATCTATACTCTTGAGAGACGTAAAGTAGCACTTGCTCAGCCAGGGCGAGGAGTCTATGGTCTTCAGGTCATAGCAGGTTCATATCAACGGGTACAGTTTGTATAAATGTTACCATAGATCAGAAAAAGTGTCAGGAATTTAAAAGATTGTCACTCTCTCTTATATCCATACATAAGAATAGACTAAGCTCAAACACGTCTCAGGCATCCTTTTAGTAAGAGTCTGGTTCACCGACATATCTCCCTTCCGTTCAGAAATTGAGCAAGAGCCCTCAAAGATTATCAAAGAAGAAGAATTTTAATCAGATTTGGAACGTTGTTGTCAGGTCTCCATGTACCGTAATGTTGGACTTTACCTGTGACATAATTAATACTCTGCTGTAGATCATACTGAAACTGAAATGAATGTAACCAGATAGACAGGACCCGTCAAGATATTAAATTCTGCACGTCTCCTTATTACCAGTTTTCTAGACAGATTGTGACTAGCCCAGTAATACGTGTAGGGCATGAATCTCATATTTTTTCTCCTGTAAATTTCACTCGGAATGATCTGATCCATCTGAGGTCCAAACTTTTGACCTCTCAAATAACTAGTTCTACAAACTCCTCGTATGCTCATAAATTATGGGCTTTGCAAGTTCTTCTTGGCAATGAAAATCTTCTTACAGAAGATACCCTCAATTCATGACTTACTGATCATGAGTGTTACGGACTTAACCAAGAATCTCAAGTGCGTTTTTTCTTTTGTAGCTTTAAGTACAACACTTCAAGAATCGTCTCTTGTATATGCGAGTTGCTTTGGTTTGACCATCAGCCGGTCTTGATGTTGCTGGAGTCGAATCAAATATCGTACTCTTCAGTGCATAAATTTGTTCTATACCAGTATACCGAGGAAGATAGTTTGCCCATTCCTGCCATTTTCAGATGAGTCATTCATTCCGGTTGAGGGCATCCCATCTACATGGTTGCCGGGTCCGCCGACCCTCCCCGCAAAGTGTTCTTATAGTCCATCGTTAGATCCGTCTGCCGGAAAGCGGAGCGATCTAATTCAATCACTTTGATGCTCCACCGGAAATTGAGTGCCAATGAAAAACCTGCCCGGTTAGCCTGCCCGCACAATCTTCCATCTTTGGTCCAAAAGAGGAGAGTGGCAGCGAAAAGAAGAACTTCCGTCACGGGTCACTGCAGGATGACACCTACCTGGGTCTATGAAGGCCCTATATAGGGGCTATGTATAAGTTTGTGCAGCTAAACCCGTCCATGGGTCTGCATTATTGGATTATTCATGGACTGCGTAGTATAATACCGTATAATACCAAATGTATTATACAACACTCAAAGCTCCACCTGAGATGTTACCCTGAACCTTTATGTTATCATTTGTAGACTTTCGGAATGTCTACAAATGGTGATGGAGGATGGTAACACTTACCCCCGTCCATCCCCATGTAGGAGATATTTTTCTCATGACTTCGAAAATGTCAGCGCTATCAAATTCATCATTGCTATCACCACCAGCATCCTCGTTTTTTTAAGTTCAAATTTATAGCATCTTTTGGCTTTTCCATTTCGAATAATATATCACAAATGTAAAATCTTACACTTATACCAAGCGAGCAACACTCGTGCAAATTCCTACGGGCTCCGGTAGGGACTTTTCATTATACAAGGTATGCTTTGGGAATGCTGTATAATACAGCGGTATAATACCGCAATTATATATACACACCGATAGCCATGAGTCACCCTGGTATCCAGAGAAGGTATGAGATCTGGCATGGCGGCGAGGTGGAAAGCTCAGAACAATCTGTACTTACTAAAGTTCAGTCCAGTTCCTCAAATAGCCCTAGTTTTGATTGAAGAAATCGTCATTCATGATACAAAAGTCTGTTATTAATGCCTGAATTTGAAAGTGATGATTGTCAAATATTTCCAAGGTCTACCGACCAGTATGAAAGCCTGTGATCTTCGGAGTTAGAAGTGAGAACAGATCGAGAACGATTGCTCTGCATCACATCACTCCTTCGGATATACGCTTCGGCATAACAACCACAGCAGTAATGAGAGTGTTGAGTGGAGAGCTCCGGCCAAGTATGGGAGAGCATGATCAGAGAATTCCGAGGAATTTGCATTTATAATTTGTATGATGCGCTGCAAAACGTTCGCAATAAGATATTTGTCATATCAGTCCAACATCCATGGATGAATAGGAAATCTATCTTTACATCATATTTGTAAGAACATCTTCTGCAGACTCTCAGTCTGCTGGTTTCAGCAGTGTATATGCTGACAAGTTGAAACTATTAGAAATCAATTGTTCGAAACGCTCGCTTGATTGAAATTCAAGCGGCCTCATCTAGTAGGAAGTAGCTAAATCTGTGGTCTGGATTTCTCGGACCGAATGCGCTGCAAATGAATTATCTGCTCGAGGTATAACCAACCGCTGTTGGAAACCCGTATTTGCTACCTATGTGATCCAGAGGATGGGACTCGGTGTGCAGCAGATGTCAACGATAGCTCAATAATCCACGGAAGACTGGTGTGTATTCTGCGCCATGGATCTTGTCTACTTGACAGATAGACCTCAGCAGATCATTTAAATTCTTCCAGACTCCATCTCTCGGAGTGATCTTCAACGCCTGTCAATATCATCCACTCTTTCATCTGTGCCCCTTTAAATGGCTGATTCCTGTAGACAGGTCTTAAAACTTTCAGGCTCCATGAGATACATATTTTCTCGATGTTGGAGTCTGTTACAATGTCGGCGGGTTCATCCCAAGTTGTTGAGCTCCAAGTGGACTACGCGCGGCGCGGCTACGTCTGTGACAGGAACTCTGAGCCTGCTCGCTTCCTCGGGTCTTGCTGGTCTTAGACAGGTCCACTGACGTTGAGGTTAGGCAGCCTGAAATACACTAATTTCAGGCCTGCCATACGGCCGGACACGCTGCATCCAGCAAATGGAGTAGCTTGCTTGTGATTTTGAAGGTGCGAGGACGCATGTTCTTCACGTGTGTTGTACTCAGAATTTTTTTGAAAAGATGGCGGAGGTCATCAAGATCTCAAATTCCCGAAAGTCGATCAAGTTGTCACCGTCGGAATCCACGCATTGGAGCATCACAGAACACTCGGCGATGGTGACCTTCTTCTTTCCCAGCCGTTTCATCAACTTCTGCAGATCAGGAGCTGAAATATGGCCGTCCCGGTCTGCATCCGCTATGCTGAATGCTATTCTTAGCTCTGCAGATCGTTGTTCGACATCATCGGATCCCAGACCGAATTTGCTTTTCAGAATTATGAACTCGCCCAAATCTATCTCTCCGTCCCCGTTCACATCGACCTCCTGAACCATAAGACGAAGCTCCTCGTTAGTAACTTTCTCCCCGAGGGTCGCCCACATGGCTCGTAACTCCTGGTGCGAAATCTTCCCATCCCCGTTCTTGTCGATGATATTGAAGGCCTCGATCAACTGTTGATGCTCCGCGTCGGAGCATCTATCCACGACAGGGAAATCCCGCTCGATGAATTGAGCAGGGGTCTTTCTCGCTTGAATTGCAGCAGCATGAAGAGACTTATTTGCACTCGGAGTGCCGGACCGTGGATCGGATGTCAAAAACCCAGCATAGGGGTTCAGGTCCCTCGTAGCAGCTGGGGCCTTCACTTTCTTGCCGAAAAAAGTTGGCAGCTTCATGCTGGCTTGATAGATTCCTTACAAGCGATGGATTTCTAAGCGCTGGTCCGGAATCGGCTAAATTTTGACTTGCTTCTATCGCGAGCTGTGTCGGAGGGAGAGAAGTGTGGCTCTTGTCTATACGAATGACTGGTCATGTGATCGCTGCTCCGCTTTATAAAGACGCAGCTGAGCAGCTCGTGAGCTGCAAGGGGAGCTGCGCCCGGGCGACAGCAACGGTGGGAGCATCTCAGATTGGCGGTGAAGCAGTGTGGAGGGAGATGGTTGACCGCACCGGCGACCTCAAACAGCGAGAAGGAGTCCTAGCTTGGGAGCTCGGTCAAAGTACAGTGGAGTGGACTAGCCGCACTGTGACTAGGCCGTTTCTTCCGGGTTTGACTTTGCCGCGGGTGCGAGAGCCGCAATCGGTGAGGAGCCGTTGCCATGTTTTCCAAACTCGGACGTGGCAGTTGCTGTTGTTTTGAGATAAGTGTGTAATGTTTCCCCTTTGAGTCTCAACACTGGACTTGGTTCTCGGGTGATCCAAAGTGTCTGCATGTTACGAAGGTCAGCCACAAAAACTCTTCCGTGTAAGTCTTTGCAAGGGTAAAACCGAGGGATAAATGATGGGAAGATACCATCCAAGTGATGAAAAGATTAGTGGAAATAGTAAAACCGAGGCCAAGGCTCATATATCAAAACAACGGTTGAATTTGGCTTGGACACAATATTATCATCTCCACCACGATGCCATACACATCAATTTACATGACTGGACAGAAAGAAGTGATTTGTTGTACACATAAAAGTGTAAGAACCAGAATCTACGAACATAAAAATTCACAATCATGAAATCACAAAGAGACAAAATCACAAACCTTAAGCCAACAAGATTATATTTGGCTCGCCATTCTCAACATCAAAAGCTACGGTTCACTCTACTCTATATACTAGGTAGCAAAAACCATAATTCTAACTCTAACAAGAACTAAATCTAAATCTAACTCAAGTTATACTAACTAAAATTTAATCTGGTAATTGAGTTACTAAAAATCTTCTCTTTAGTACAATGAACTCCATAACCCATATAATTATTATGCAAAAAATTCTAGAAATAAACTTTAAATTAGTAAATCTCTAGACCACTACTAACTAAAACTAAGTTGTAATAAAAGCACGATAGAGTAAAAGTATATAGATTTAACATAAGCTGCTAGTTAACTTATGCAAAGTTTGCATAGTATCACAACGTCTTCCAAAAACTTCCAATGAAGAAACTTTTATAAATGCATCAACTAGATTATGTTTACCGTCAATTTTGATTGACTTAATAGTTTTATATAACACTCCATCTCTGATAAAGTGATATCTAGTGTATATGTGTTTCACTCTTTTGTTCATCATTTGATTTGTAGCAAAATGTAACAAATTTTAATTATCACGATGAAGATTTATAATCTCTTGTTTCAATTTCACATCAATGATAAGTCTATTCAACCAAACAAATGTTTTTGTTGCTTTTACTATTGCTATATATTCAACTTTCATTGATGATTAAAATACTTACTTTTGTAAAATAGATTTTCAACTAATGCATCATCACATAGTGTAAACACATATTAAATTGTATTATTTATACTATCAAGATCAAGAAAGTAAACATAACTTAGCAAGGATTGACGTTGTGTAATAAATCATCAACCAATACACTATAATCTTTGAAATTCTTGAAAGAAGTTCAAGATTTATTTCATTGCTTTTCGTTGCATCTTCTATGAATTTGAAATGTATTAGTTTATCTTGTTCACAAATGAAAAAATATTATGTTTTGTGTATATCATCAAATACATGAGGTTGTTCATAACTTTGTCATAATAAATTGATGATAATTTTTACTTTTCAATGGCATCGGTTGAACATTGAGTAGTAAAAAGTTTAAAATGAGCTACCACAAGAGTTCAAACTAATTTAAAATCTATCATCAATATCAAATTTGTCAAACATACAATGAACATATTTTGTGAACATTCATCCATAGATTTTTTTCTCCAAAGATTTATTAACATTCATCCCTCATATTCTTTTGGTTTTACTTACATACTTCATTTTAGATGCAATCTTGACCTAGTTTTTGCATCTGAAAAGGTAAGATTATTTTTTGCCAAAATAAACATGTCATCTAAAATAATAAGTTTATTTATATCATTATTCATCTATTTTCTGTATACACATAGATCCTACACACTACTTAATAATCCTTATGCTTTCATAAATTTGCATTGCAAGAACTTTCAACTTGCTTCAATGCATATAATAATTTTAGCAATCTACAAACTAATTTTTTAAATTTTTTTCTCAAAACTCATTGATTATCTGATGTTGTTTTTTACTCTAAATATTCATAAAATAATGTTGTAACTTTTCATTTGATATAAAACTAGGTCAAATATATATCAAATGCACATATTAGTCAAATTGTAGCATATTTTGCTACAATTTAAAGAAAATATTTATACTCCACACCTTTGTATGAAGTATCTAGTCACCAATTTGACTTTGAAGAAATTTATTTTGTAATTTGTTGGATTGTACTTCAGCTTGTACATTCACTAACAATTAATCAAAGTCTGATTGTTAAAAAGTTTCATCAAGTTTTAAATCTTGTTATCCATGAGCAATTGCATCTCACACTCCATAACAACATGTTAGTCAAACTTATTGATATAATATTTATCTTCTATAGAAGATTAAGATTATAAAAATAAGAGTTTTATAAAAATTGAATTAGTGTAAAATTTAAACCTTATGATAAACTTGTTGAAAATTTTGAGTAATTTTCATACTTGAATATAAATAATTTGGGCTCACCAACAATAAACTTATTTTCAAAAAAACACTCCATCTGTAATAATATTTCAAAAGTCTTGAATTATTTCAATAATTGAAAATATTTGTTAAATATAAAATATATAATTTTTCAAATTCAACACAAAAAAAATAAACATATTCAAATGATAAAAAAAACCATGAATTTATCTTAATTTGCAATTTGAATTTTCTTAAAATCGTTATAGCCATAATCAATTTATAGCAATCATGTATTGTCATCTTTTCAATAGCTTGATTCGTAACACGTGGAACATGCTGTGCTTACAATATTCTACCATATGTAATATTGACAAATTAGCAGCAAATCATTTTTCTCTTTGACTATCACAATCCAAAAAAAAGCACTTCATAATTTTTTATCAAGTACATGAAAATGACTTATTAATATTTTCATTTGGTTTCTTAACCTCAGTTGGATTTGTCAAACTTTGCTCAAAGGTTACTCCTAAACTCAATGTGATGAATTTTTATATTTTCTTGCTCAACAATTTTTTTTTCCAAAACTCGGAAATAAATTCTACAAAAATTAGTAATCAAGCTTTCTACTCTTCACTCATCTCCATAGTCTTGGAATCTCTTACCACCCCACAACTAAATACTGAATCTAATGCATCAAGAACTTGAAAATTATAAACCAATAATCATCACCTTATCATGTTCAAGAACCGAATATTATTATGATACGCCCAAATAAGTTTTTCTTCATCATTCATCATGTTGATGTGAATTTTACATTTTAACTCGTATCTTCTTCAATAGACTTATGAATAGACAATAGTATGATATTGATGCTACAACTCTTGTTGAAGAAACCTTTATTTTCATGGCTCTTTATTCCCATACAAAGGCCATCTTTATCTAAAATTTGTGTACAGATTCTGGTCTACTAAAATTTGCTTCCCTAGTGCAATACAAAATATTTTCCTACATGACATACTTGGGCTTAGCCCCATGGTAGCCACATGGTCGCATCCATGTAAGACTTGATGATCAATCCTTCTTTCGCTCAGTAGTTGGTCTTTGTCTTTCCCAATAGAAGGATAGATGTTATGTAGTTAATACCAATTGTGCAATATACTCTTACTTGATTGGCTGAGTTTTTACCAGAAAGTGACGAGCAATCTTCAACTAGTGCAAACAAAACCAGTGATGACAAGAGAGAGAGGATACAAAATTAATGGCTTTTATAGAGACAACTAACGTACTGGAATATAAACCTTCATACAGCTTCACCGCATTCCCTTGTAGAGGATAAATGTAAATGTCCCAAGTTTTTCTTCGTCACTAACTGCTCTTTCTCCATAGGTAATAATCATATGGAGCATGCCAGCACCTGAAACATTGAACAGTTCGCACTTTCAAAAGAGGAGTCGTCTGCGTTGTGTAAAGGGTGGATAATGAGAAAGTCAGCAACTAAGTTCAGTGGCTTAAGGATTCTGCTTAATTTTTTCTTAAAAAAAACAACTTCCAATGACTTATGGATGACAAATGAAGCCTGCTGATTTCACTTGTCACTTGGCAGCGACGGAGGATCGAGGAGAATGAAGCAAGAAGGTTCCGGAGCAGTCTGTAATGTCTGCAGTGTCTGTGGAGCGTTTGTGTTTGACCATAGTCAGTTTTTGTGATCAAATGTCCTTTGCTTCACACGAACAGCAGGTTAGGACTATTTCGTGAACCTCGATGGCATCTAGAGAGTTCTAGGTGTCGTTGAAGGTCCGGGACGACACAGGCGGACTTTCTTCACAACGAGATGTCAACGGCAATGTCTGAGTACAGTACTCAGCCGTAAATAAGAACATATTTCGGCAGAATTCAGTGGAGTCGAGCAGGCTTGTCTGCCGGTCTTGACGAGCAGGGTGATCGCTGAAGGGCCCACGTCAGTTCAAGCTGTACGTGCTCGGAGTCTCTCCCGTGTCGTCGGGATGAGGAGATTCGCCTTGTGTTTTCTCCAGAGAACTCATTCGGGCGGAAACTAGGAAGCACGAAGTTTGTCCCCGTAATCATAATTAGTTCGCGTGGATGTCCGTTGGGTTTCTGCCTCGGAGGGAATAGACGGCATGTAAATTTCGTAGAAAAGAAAACTGAATAGTTATATATGTGGCTCGATTAGCGACCTTAGTGTTGTAAGTATATGCTGCATAATATAAAGTAAGGGTAACGGCTAGTTATTATTCACTTGGGGTTAATTAGAACTCACTCTAGGTTACGCAATTCTCTTCTCGATCTAAACTAAGAGAACTATTAGATCTTATTTGCTCATATAATAAGGTGAGGGTTAATTAGTACTAAGTGAATTATAATTAGTTTTTTTCTAAAATAAAAATATATACACACAGAATATTACTATGATCTAAGGACATAGTGA